TATACTTTTCAAAATCAAGCCATATCTTCTTTTGCTAAACAGGTGGATGTATCCTGAGGCACTGCTGAACGCTCGAGATGGTGACTCAAAAGAATTAGTGGAGAGGGCTCTTTAGCTACAAACCACACGTAAATTTTACGTATGATACCGCTCTAGGGTTAAAAAATGACAATCAATTTATTTTATTTTTCAACGTCCACAAGAAAATCATCCATTAAACACACATAGGTACTTTTAAACGAAATTACAGCCATATTTCGTTTAATTGTCCTTCAAAATCGTGAAGATGCCATTACATATTGATTATTTGTAAATCAAAAATAAAAAAACAAATAAATAAAATAAGGAATTATTATTCCCGCTGTCATCTTCACTTGACGTATCTTTCAAATTTATGATGCAAGAATGACTCAGAAATATTCGATAATTGTTTTAAATATTCTTGACATGGCGAACACAATTGGTCCATATTTATGGAGATATTCCTGTAAAAACTTCTCGTTTGGTATCTGGCACACTTTGAGACAACGTTTGAGTGACATTTCTCTTTCTTACTTTCCCCTTGATATTACTCCAAATCAATTCTATAAGATTAAATGAGCAATAATAAGATGTAAAACGTATAACGGTAGAGGTGGGTTAAGAGTTGTTTATCATTGGTACCTAAGTAGTAGATCGAGGGTAGAAGGTTCCTGATTTATTCTAAATCCCGTGGGTTGGGTTATTGGTTGAACAAAACTAGAATTGTGGATACATTCCAAAAACTGATTGGTAACATTTTGCGTGTCAGATATGGAAGTAATTGGACATTTAGTGTCTGGAAAATTGAAATCATCTGCTATAATCAGATTTTCAGAACCACTATACTCTGTTTTTAAACTAAGAGGAGCGATTTGAATTTAAGTTGGCAATTCTGTAGTCTTCTGATTGGTCAGATTACAGTCAGTTTCACACATTACTTTTTAGCATGAACATCAGCTAATAAATGATATTGTTGACAGTTCTGACATTTTATAATTTGATATCTCATCCATTACTTAGTTTTTTTACTTTCTTTCGTAAATAATAGTTCTTCAGTAAGCAATTGTATTGAAAATCTACAATTATGGATCCTTCTACACTGAGTACTATTAAAGGTAGCAATTCCTGAAAAGCCTTACAAGAAAGGGAAGATACCTTATTATTTTACATGCTGATTCTGAAGGTTTTGTTTTTGTAGGAAATGCATTATTGGTTTTTGAAGGTAAAGAGATGGGAGATTACCATGAAGAGATGAATTCCGAAGTATTTTAGAAAAAAATAATTTTATTACTGATTTTTTAAAACTAAAAATTGATAAATTTCTAACCAAAATGATTAAAATGTAACTAAATATTCAAGCAAATTTTATTTATTAGAATAGAATAAAACTATTTACAAAATTGTTATAACATTTAAAACACCATCTACTACTTTAGGGACAATCTTAATTTGGCACAATGAGTTAACATTACTTTCACATAAAATATTTTAAAAATACTTAAAATTAATACATAGGTATGTGTGAATAGTTCACTTTAAAAAATATATTTTGACATGTAGTGTTATAAAAATGTTGGTTCCAGTTTTCAAAACAAATTCTGACTCAGGCCTGTAAACTTTTGAATGCCTTTATTTGCCCTCTAGCGCATTAACCATGGGTTAACACTAAATAAGCCATAATATCCACATTACTCATAGAAGAGATACCAGTTACTGTGTGATCCACTTGTCAATCACTGATTAACTTTTACTTTTTATACCTATAACAAATATATCCTTAAAAATGTAAACAGATCTTTATATTTTATACTAACCTTGCTACATCTGCATATTCCATTAACAATTTTCTTAAATATTTAATATCCATTTTAAAAAGATCATAGTTATTCTCAAAAAGTCGATTTCAAAAGCAAGAAAAAAGTATTTCTGACATCAATCAACAACCATATTAACTTTAATTTGACAGTGACATTTCGTTTTAGACACACATTTCAGATCACAATAATGTGAAATTTGCGACCGTTGTCTGGGACCAATTAAAAAATTACTTCTATGACATTTATTCGTTTCTTAACCGCTCATTGGCCGTTCAGCGACTAAGGCCGATAAAGATAATTATTTCATAAATTTTGAACACGACTATATTTCGAAACTCGCTCTTAGTAACAAATCTAGTTACTTTTCCCTGTGTAAATGCGTCTTTTCAATTCGCTCCTCCTATACTCTGTTTTTAAACTAGGAGGAGCGAATTGAAAAGACGCATTTACACAGGGAAAAGTAACTAGATTTGTTACTAAGAGCGAATTTCGAAACATAGTCGTGTTCAAAATTTATGAAATAATTATCTTTATCGGCCTTAGTCGGCGAACGGCCAATGAGCGGTTAAGAAACGAATAAATGTCATAGAAGTAATTTTTTAATTCGTCCCAGACAACGGTCGCAAATTTCACATTATTGTGATCTGAAATGTGTGTCTAAAACGAAATGTCACTGTCAAATTAAAGTCAATATGGTTGTTGATTGATGTCAGAAATACTTTTTTCTTGCTTTTGAAATCTTTTTGAGAATAACTATTATCTTTTTAAAATGGATATTAAATATTTAAGAAAATTGTTAATGGAATATCCAGATGTAGCCAGGTTAGTATAAAATATAAAGATCTGTTTACATTTTTAAGGATAATTTGTTATAGGTATAAAAAGTAAAAGTCAATCAGTGAATGACAAGTGGATCACACAGTAATTGGTATCTCTTCTATGAGTAATGTGGATATTATGGCTTATTTAGTGTTAACCCATGGTTAATGCGCTAGAGGGCAAATAAAGGCATTTAAAAGTTTACAGGCCTATGAGTCAGAATTTGTTTTGAAAACTGGAACCAACATTTTCATAACACTACATGTCAACATATATTTTTTAAAGTGAACTATTCTTACATACCTATGTATTAATTTTAAGTATTTTTAAAATATTTTTTGTGAAAGTAATGTTAACTCATTGTGCCAAATTAAGGGTGCGATTACAGAACGTCTGCAACTTTGCAGATCTGCAAATATGGCGGACTTACAAATGCAAGTATTCCAAAAAATATCTGCAAATTCGCAATATTTATTGTGGTTTATTACCCCCAACAACACTAAACCCAAATCTGGAATACGAAAACTTGATACTTGCATGTGTAAGTCAGTCATATTTGCAGATTTTCAAAGTTGCCGCCATATTTGCAGATCTGCAAAGTTGCAGACGTTCTGTAATCTCACCCTAAGATTATCCCTAAAGTAGTAGATGGTGTTTTAAATATTATAACAATTTTGTAAATAGTTTTATTCTATTCTAATAAATAAAATTTGCTTAAATATTTAGTTACATTTTAATCATTTTGGTTAGAAATTCATCAATTTTTTGTTTTAAAAAATCAGTAATAAAATTATTTTTTTCTAAAATACTTCGGAATTCATCTCTTCATGGTAATCTCCCATCGTTTTACCTTCAAAAACCAATAATGCATTTTCAACAAAACCTTCAGAATCAGCATGTAAAATAATAAGGTGTCTTCCCTTTTTTGTAAGGCTTTTCAGGAATTGCTACCTTTAATAGTACTCAGTGTAGAAGGATACATAATTGTAGATTTTCAATACAATTGCTTACTGAAGAACTATTATTTACGAAATAAAGTAAAAAACTAATAGCGGATTCGACTGGCTGCATTAATGCGCATTTAATTCGACTTTTTTAAGTGGTGTTTGTTCGACTGACAGAACCTAATTAGTTAAATGCCAATTATTGCATTCGACTGAAATTGCTCGGTACCAAGGCATAGTGAAATTTTTGTTCGACTGGCAGTCGCTCTTGCTCAAAGTTCGAATTTTTTGGAACTGTACTTTTTTTCAGTGCCAGTGTCATTTTGGAGGTTAGGGATTATTTAATATTTTTAAATATATTACCATCTTTCTCTTTATTATTAGTGATAATGGAAAATCTTTGAAATTAATAGAGATATAATTTTTGGTTTGGCAACTATAAATAAATATCCTTAAAAATTTGTTAGAAATCTGAAATGTCAAGTGCTAACTGTGCCAGTCGAATAACGATAGAGACGCGCTACACCAATGTCGAACTCTAGCTCTTGCTTGCTGTGTGCACTGCTAGATATAAATTTGAATTATAAAAATGCTGCCCAAAATCAATTCAGAACCGAAAGCGCTTTGTCATCGAGCAAGAGCATTTGAGTCGAATCCGCTATAAGTAATGGATGAGATATCAAATTATAAAATGTCAGAACTGTCAACAATATCAATTATTAGCTGATGTTCATTCTAAAAAGTAATGTGTGAAACTGACTGTAATCTGACCAATCAGAAGGCTACAGAATTGCCAACTTAAATTCAAATCGCTCCTCAGTTTAAAAACAGAGTATAGTTTAAAAAAAAAGCATAGTACTCTCGCTGTCTTCACTTTCTTCCGATGAACCCGTATTTTTGTTCGTAAGTAAAAGCTTGGCAACGCCGAAGTTTGGCTCACAATAATAAGGGATCCATGTTTAAGCGATAGCTTCTGTTCGAATTATATTCTGGACCATGCGGCAGTCGTACAGCGTTGCCAAATTATTAAGCAATTGTATCTCTATATCAGAAAAACGAAAAAAATCGCCAAAACGCCACTGACGCTTAAATGGGATGGACCTGAGAGAGAGGCAAATTATTGGGGCCTTTGTCAGGTATGATGTGTGCGGCTTTTTCTTAGTACTCTACATACTCCCCCTCCTCGTCTATCAATTCGATCATATCTAAAAATCTGGTAATTAGGAATAGAGATTAAGCTATCTGGAATATTTACATTGAGCCATGTTTCGGTATAATTAAAATAAGGTCCGGTTTTTTTGAATAAGACAAATAAATTCATTGAATTTTTTGGGAAGACAATCTAAATTTGTTTACAATAAGAGCCAATCATTGAAAGTTGAAGATGAACCAGTTAATGCTAAAATTTGTGTACGATCTTTGGTGATCCATTAATGTACTTGTCAGTGCCATTTCGATTTTTATTTTCCAATTCAGTTCTAAGTTCGTTTAGGTATGAATTTTGAGCCTGAGTTTTGTCATCGGTGATACTAAAATCCTTGGTTAAATTATTTTCCATCAGTTTTCGTTTTAAACGAAGAATAAATTTAGCATCAGATTGGCATTGAAAAGTGACTTTAATCATTCGAGGGTATTTATTGTTAGAATTTGGTTTTTCGATTCTATAAAAAGAAACCATTTCGGCTGTTGAACCGAGCGAGCTGAGTATCAAATCGAGTTTTTCTTTATCCTGTTTTTTCTTCACAGCGCTGTCTCCTTGGGCCTCTGCGATCCCGCAAATTAAAATATTCTTGACACGGCGCATTTCATCATCTGCTTCTGCAGTAACAGTTTCGATAAATTTAAGAGAACGAAGAGATTCAGAATTTTTAACTTAGTCCTTAAATTTTGATAGCTGATTATTGAATGACTCGATATTATTTTGTATACCTTTAAGTTTTTCATCAAAAGAATCAACCTTTTTATCAATATTTATTTTAAATGTCTCTAGGATACCCTTAACTTCGCTAAACTGATCTACGATTGAGGAGCAACGGTTACAAACTATTTTAATGTATCGAAGTTTTTGGCGAGTGACACGATCATCGGTTTTTTAATCAGTACAGTTCAAATGCATGAAAAATGTACACCCATCTTGAAGCAACTAGCACAGGTCGACATTGCCAGCTACTTTTTGTGCAGTGATAACAGAAACTTGTTGATAAAATTTTTCGGATTTGCTGGCAAATTAATGTAAATTTTAAAATGTTATTAAGGTTTATTATGACTTACAGCTTTTGCACTTGCACTATTTTTTACTGAGGCAATGAAATACACGTTATGAACTCAAATATAGTCTATTTTTATGTATGAGAGAGTATTAAAATAATAAAGCGTTCGTTATCCATAGGCGTATCACTTCTCTTAGTAGACAGTTAAAATATTTTTTGACATTTCTCTTCTTTAACAACTGTGTAAATCGTAGATTTCCTAACACCAAGCGTACTACTAACTAATTCCACTGTGTCATCAACACTTTTACATAAATGTTTGTCTGTAAATTATTTAAAACAATTATATATTAATGTTTTTTCATTAACTGTTAAAGGACCGATTTTTTGTTGTTTACGCGGCCCTTCCAAATTTTCCATGATCACACTAGAATTCACACTGCACCTTGCAAGTTGCAACTAAACGACATTTAGTAAACTGTCAAGAATACACAACTTGGACCTCCTTACTAAATGGAAAACCTATAATCGCATTTTCGGTGAAATTTGTTGGGAAGGTATTTATCTACTTATAATTCGATTACTGTAAGAAATTCTTGGAATTAAAATAAAACAAAATTGGCAAATAGGTACTTATTGAAAATAATCTTAAGATACGGCTATGTAATCTTTAATACACAGGGCTTTTGGCCTGTCCAAACCTTTTTCTATTGTTCTGTACAGCTTATGTTTATAAAGGACCAATAAAAGACTCAAAACTTGTAATAGCTCAGGTACATTTATTACAATTTTAGGAAATATTTAGATTATTCTGTAAAAATATTTAAAATGACCGTACTAAGTTATGCATTAGAAATGCTGTTTTATTACTCTCTTATACATAAAAAAGACTATAGTAAGTTTCATAAAATTAATTGAAATATAAACCACAGAAACACGGGTGTCAATGGGAAAAGATAAGGTAAACACGTCTACAAGGTGTCGGGACACATGAATTTGACAAGTAATTTATTAAATTAAATACTGTGTCTACTCTATATAGGGTTCGAGTGAAATATATAACAGTCCGTCACTTGCCAAGCAAGAAATAAACAAAAAAAGACACAATTTTATCATCTAAAAAACGTGCGATGACCATAGTTTTCACAATATACCTTTGTGTATGTGGTATTAGGTTTATACTAAATAAACAACTCTATCTTTTTGTTTTAATTAGATTCTAGTTTATTTAAATTTCATATAACAGTTGTTACAGAAATTTCATCTAAAATTTATTTTCATATGGCACTCCTATTAAGAACATCTGGTGTATAGTATTTTCTTTATTTCTTATAGGTATATTGGCCAAAAAACGTAAAAAACTTTATTAATTATTAATTTTTTGTTGGCATTACAACCTAAGAAATATTTTCATGTAATTGTAGTCAATTTTTTCTATTAATTAAGCATATATATGAAGGAGTTTGTAATTCATATAATAAAATTTATTATTGGTAGTTTAATCATTAAGTTATATCTAAGAAAAATCATTTCAACGAATTAAATAAGTTATTTTTTTATAATTTAATTATCAAATTAAAACACTATTTTTCAGTATATACGTTGGTAATGAGTTTATATGGTGTTGTAATAGTTACCTTTAAGTTTTACAGCCATGAACTTAAGGGTAACAACTTGTTAATGTTAAATATTGTATTAATGTTAAAATAGAAATTGTATAAATGTATGTTGCCAAATCACCTGTATGTACTGTGTAATTTATTATGTTTGTTTAAATAAAAATGTATTTTAGTTTATTATATAGTATTATTTATTGTTTTTCCCATAATTATTATTCTTTTTGTCACCGGTTGCAAAAAACTTTGTACCAAAGAATCTTACAACTCTCCGACTTAGCTTAGATACTGATATAAGTATTAAATTTATGGGTCGGTGAGATTAGACATAGAATTTAAGCAGCAAGTTAATGGCACTTTATTTAAAAAGACAAAAAAAGTTGAATTAATGCTCATAGGCGCCATGTATTTAGTTCTAAAATAAATACAAATTGTGCCTTTAGCTTTCCAGCTGAAAGTAAGGAAATTAAAACAATATGAGGTAAAATTTTAAAATGTGAATAATACAAAAAATACAAGACTTGTTAACATTTAAACACTTACAGCTGGTGGCAAAAACGATTGTTAAAATCTCTCGTTAGCTAATGAACTTATAACTAACTGAGATTAAAACTGGTAACGGCGCTTTTACAAATGCCAGTCTGTCATTTTAAAGATGATTACGGGTGATTGTAAATAACATTTTTATTAATGAAACTTTTCACAAATTAATTAAAAATAAAGTAAAAAATAAAATTGAGGCTCAACCTTTACTGCTACGGTTAAAAAAACAGGTTAATCATTCTTAATAAATGATTTAAGGAATAAAACCCGTTCTTCAAACAGTGTAAATCCTAGCCCAGATGAACTAAACAATTATTTCGTAAATGTAAGTAAAAATATCAAATCTAACATAGCTCCGAGTCAGGATGCTCTCTCCTTCCTCCTACCTACTAAAAGGATCACTGAAAGTTTCTTCCTAAGACCAGTAGACAAGCATGAACTAGTGCAAACCATAAACAATATCCAAAATAAATTTTCCTGTGGAATTGATGGCCTGTCCACCAAAATATTTCTAAATATACCGGATGTAGTAATCAACATTTTAACTTCACTGATTAATGAATCCTTTGAAATTGGTCTTTTTCCTAACTGTCTAAAAACAGCTATAATAATCCCACTTCATAAAGGTGGCGACAAAACCAAAACCTGTAACTATAGACCTATCGCGTTATTGCCTACCTTATCGAAGATAGTAGAACGGCTAATGAAAAACCGTCTTTTGCCCTTTCTTTTCAAGCATAACATCCTCACAGCTCATCAGTATGGCTTTCTACCTAAAAAATGCACTAGCGACGCAATGTTTTCCGTTCTTAATAAAATATACACATCACTTAATGATAAACTTTTCACCGCTTCAGTATTTTGTGACTTCGCAAAGGCCTTCGATTGTGTAAATCATGATATTTTAATTAATAAGTTACAAATTTATGGCATACGGGGTTCTCCTTTACAATGGTTTAAAACTTACCTAGAAAATAGAAATCAACAGGTGCGGGCGAATGGTGAGGATTCTACAAATCTAGCAATAAGCAGTGGAGTACCTCAAGGATCAGTATTAGGTCCAATTTTGTTTTTATTATTCATCAACGACATCACAGACTTAAGAATAAGTGGTAGAATTACTTTATTTGCTGATGACACCAGTGTAACCTGGAATAATTCTAACATGCAGACATTACAATCTATCATAAGTGAAGATCTAGTGACTATTAAGTCCTGGTCTGATTCAAATGGACTTTGTTTCAACACCAGTAAAACTGTAGCATTGTCTTACAGAGGTACTTTACAACCTATAACTTTAAACAATAATCTGATCCAAACGGTGACTTCAATCAAGTTTTTAGGTCTTTATATAGACGATTCTCTAAAATGGTCTGCTCATATAGATACCTTAGCAAAAAAATTATCCTCTGCATGTTTTGCCATTAAATCGGTTTCTAAAGAGCTGACTCCTTCTACTGCATTAATAACCTACTTTTCCTTATTCGAATCTCACCTTCGCTATGGTTTACCTTTCTGGGGTTCTTGTAGCTTATACCTTTTCGAATCTATTTTTAAACTGCAAAAAAGAGCAATCCGCTATGTATTTGGTTTAAGTAGTAGGACACATTGCGAAAATTACTTCAAAAATTTCAAAATTCTAACCCTTCCTGCTCTATTTATTTTCGAATCCATCTGCTTAGTTCGCAAGCACATTCAAAATTTATCCGAAAGACCGACTCGTAGATATCCTACAAGAAATTTAGAGACTGATGTTTATTTAACAATGCCCACTTCTGACCTATTAAAACATTCCATTACCTACAATGCCAAAAAATTGTATAATAACCTTCCGATGCAATTAAAATCTATAAATACATACGATAAGTTCCGAAGACTGGCTAAAGCTTTTCTTCTAGAAAGACCATATTACACAGTAGCAGAATTTTATAACGTACCTTAGACATTTGAGTTCCACATACAATGGCATTAATTAAATAATTAAATATTAAAGTTTAAATTTAAATTTAAATTTAAATTTAAATTTAAAAATTAAATTAGAATAATTATAATGACGGATATTGCATATCCATTGCAATTGTTATTCCTATTTTGTCTGTTTGTTTCTGTTTGTTTTTTCTGCTGTTTAGTTATTTTTATAATATGTTTAGTATTTAAGTTACACGCTTTGTCTATAAAATTTTTGTAAATTTTTTTACGACAATAAAGCATATCTCTCTCTCTCTCTCTCTTCTTCTTCTTCCTTTATTGGGCTATATCCCATAGGATAATTTACCCAGCCAACAACGAGGAGAGTATCCTTGTCTTGCTCTCAGCAATTGGATACCCTCTATTAAATTGATATATTTATATATTTCAAAGTAAAAAGCTTATTAATGTTACTACAAAGTTAGTACATAGACGTCACAACACACGATAAAAACTTTCCTCGCTTGGGGGCAGTCGCCAAGCTGAACACAACCAGAAAACTGGCCAACGGTAAATAGAGAAGCACCTAGGACTGAAAGAGAGGATAAAGTATTAGGGTTATAATTGAATTTTAAATATATTTAAAAATTTGATTAGAATGTTTAATCTGCTATTATTGAGGTTAGCCAACATAAAACAAATGTCAAAGGGAGTAGAAAGGTTAGTTTTTGCCAGTTCAGAGTATAAATCTAAGTTTGTCATCATATTTATGGGACATTCAAAGATAATGTGGTTTAATGAGCCAATTTGACCACAATCACAAAATGAATAATCTTTTATAGTCGAGGCAATGAAGCACTAAAAAGGCCAAATTTCCTGGGTTTTTTCGTGCAAGTCGGATCGGAATGCGGTTTTTTGCATTCACTTGCAAAAATTATTTGCATCATTCCCCCGTAATTTCCGGGTCATTCAAACCGGAAATTGCATTTCTGCAGCCAAAAATGCATTCAAAAAATGCATTCAAAAAATGCATTATTTGAGAGGCCTCTTGGATAATTTCAAAACTTGTTAAATAAGTGTCAGAACTAGCCCAGATCGCGTGCTCGGGGGTTTTCGAGGTCACTGATCACGATTATGATGTCTAAATTGACCCACAGCTGACCTGGAGCTCAGGAACGTCGACGAACGTCATCTTCGTGGGACTCTCTCAAAATTCACGCGGGGACGGAGGGCAACTAGGCTATCAGGTTCTTTTTTGGGTCGCTGAATCCAAATATGGCATCGGACACCTGGTGCGCCCAAACCTCGACCTGGACGTCATCTCCGAGAATTTTCCTAACACAATCGAAAAAAACGAACCGAAAATCGTGAAGGGGTACTGAATTAGAATCTCCGAGAGTTTTACAGTCGCGATCACAAAAAAACTCCCCAAAACATAATTTTATACATTCATTCATGTGTAACTCTCCCCTGGGGCCCTAGGAAAAGTTCATCCATTCTGGTTTGTCCAGCGAAACAATTTTTGAGAATGGGGCGCAGCTAATCCTGGCAATGTACAGTGCTCCAATGTCATTCAGGAAACTAAATATTCCTGACAAACCAAAATGGAACCAGTTACTCCAAAAGTACAGGTGCGAAACGTACAGGAGAACCGCTGCGACGGGGAGAGTAAATTTGGCCAAAATTCTCTCTACAGTAGACGCCATTCAACAACATATAAAAAGGGTCTATTTTCAAGTACAACAATGGCTGCACAGAGACCAGCTGACCATGGACCCAACAAAATGGGGGTGGAGAAAGGAAGGCGACACACTAGTGCCTGTACAGATGGAAGAAAAACCGGCGCCCAAAAATATTATGGAACTAATATTCTGTGGATGCAAAGGAGATTGTAATCTGAACACCTGTAGTTGCAGGAAGCACGGTCTACCTTGCGATCTTGCCTGTAAAATTTGTGAAGGTTCAACTTGCCTTAACACTGAAATATATTCAGATGAAAACGTTAATGTGCGAGAAAAAGAGGCCTCAGATGAGGGAGATGCTCCCCGTATGAATACATCAGTCGATGACGAAGAAAATGATCAGACTCATTTGAGTTATTAATTAATTAAGGAATGACAAACTTACAGGTTCATTGTATTCGATTGGAGGCCAATAAAAATTGTTCTACCGTAAATTATATAAATATTGCGTTTCTATTCATTCTCTTTCTTTCCTCCTCACGTAATCTAGAATAAACAATTGCGCACAGCTATTGCAGTATTGACGCCTCGGAGATGATGTCCAGGTCTAGGTTCAGACGGACCAGGTGTCCATGCGGTGTTCGCCGATGCCATATTTGAATTCAGCGACCCAAAATCCCCCCTTTAACGATTTTCGGTTCGTCTTTTTCAATAAGGCCTGGAAGAACTACGGTGAAAACGTTCAGGGCCAAGTTAGGGCGCACCAGGTGTTCGGGGGGTCGTTTTCCACGTGAAATTCGGATTCAGCGCCCCAAAAACCCCCTTTAAGGATTTTCGGTTCGTCTTTTCCAATTGGGTCTGGAAATCCCTCGAGGATGACGTTCAGGACCAAGTTCCGGTGCACCAG